CTGTGATTTCAAACACATCAGCTGATCGTAGTTCCTTATGTTGGGATCAGTGTCTCTGAAGTTTCACTATATATTGTAGGCAACTCAATGGCACATAACAACAGTAACATCCTATGACAGATTTGGAAGCAGGAGTGGCATCCACTTCCTAAATAACATGCCTCTGGAAACTCTGTGAACTTTGATAAATGTTGATAGTTGTAGAGGGGCTGCAGGCCTTTTGTTCATAGGGTCGCTATGAGTCATGCTTGACTGAACGGCAATCAACAACAAAGCCCTAAGAGTTTGTAGAATACCCATTGAGACACAACAAGTATTCACAACAAACATGAACTGAGGCACTCATCTATGCCAAGAAATGTGGAGGACAACTACGTGACCAATACGTCTCAAGAGCTTCATAGTTATGCCCATTCCTAAGAAAGACAATCCAACAGCATGTGAAAATTACTGAAAAATATCATTAACATCAGAGACAAGCAAAATTTTGGTGAACAATTTAAAAATCATTGCAGAAATACATCAACAAGAAACAGTCAGAAATTCAAGACCGATTCCAAAGACATGGAACAAAATATATATTGCTGATGTCAGATAGATATAGAAGCAGAGAATGCCAGTGAGGTGTTTTATTATTGACTATGCAAAGGCGTGTGACTGTGTAGATAATAACAGATTATAGGTAACATTGAGGAGAATGGAAATTCCAGAACAACTGTGCTAATGGTGAGCTTGGGAGAACAGGAGGCACTCAATTTGTCATTGGATCAGAACATGGGGAATACCAGACAGTTTAAAATCAGGAAAGGCATGTGTGAGGGTGGCATCCTTTCACCATATTCATTCAATCTATGTGGTAAGCAAATAATGCAAGAAATTGAACTATCTGAAGAAAAACCTGGCATTAGGATTGAAGGAACACTCATCAATGAATTTTTATATATAGGTAACACACCTTTGCTGAAAACAAAGAGAAACTGGAGTATTTATTAATGAAGCTTAAAGACTAGAGCTTTCAACATAGAGCACACCTTGGCAAAGAAAGTAGAAATCCTCAGAATTTGACCAACAAACAATATCAATGGAGACAGAGTGGAAGCCTTCAAGGATTTCATTTTACTTGGGTTCACGGTCAGTATCCATCAAAGCAACAGTTAAGAAGCCACATGGTATATTGCACTGGACACATCTACTGCAAAAGGGTTGTTAAGAAGCAAAGCTGTCACTTTGAGAACTGTGAACCCCCGCTGTGATATTTTCAGTTGCCTCCTATACATATGAAAGCTGGACACTGAAGAGGAACCCATGAATTTGAATGATGGTCTTGGAGAAGATAATATACCATTGACTGGCAGAAGAACCAACAAAACTACATTGGAAGAAGCATGCTCCACAGAAGCAAGGACAGTGAGAGTGACACTCTATCTCAAGCACTTTGGGAATGCTATTGAAGGAGGATGTTATGCTTGGAAAAGTAGGGGGTCAGCGAAAAAGAAGAGGAAGGCCCTCCACAGTATGGATTGACCCAGTGACTGCAGCAAAGCGCTCGGGCACAGCAGAGCTTGTGAGGACGGCACAGGATCACGTAGGGTTTTGCTCTGTTCTGCTCTGGTCACTATGAGGTACAGTTGACTCAGCAGCACCTAACGACCGTCAGCACTCACACTTAATGCCACCGAGTTGGAACCAACTGATAGCTGCCCCTCAGCTGGGTTTCTGAGACTTTAAGTTGCACAGGAAGAGATTACTCATCCTTCTTCCTTGGAGCTGCTTGGGAGTTCGAACCACCAGAGAGGCATAGCCTTTGGGTTATCAGTGCGACCTTTTGCAGGCTGGATAGTTTATATCTGACAAATTTCAACAAACAGATGCAGCCTGAAAGTGCTCACCAGGCTGTGCCAGAAATCTGAAAGACAAATACCTGGCCAGCTGACTGGAAGAGATCCATATTTATTCCCATTCCAAAATAAATGGTGACGTGACAGAGTATGGAAATTATCAAACACTATCACTATCATGGTACTAGGGATATTGTAGCTGATGTTAGATGGATCTTAGCTGAAAGCAGAGAATACCAGAGGAATGTCTATCTGTGTTTCATTGACTATGCAAAAGCATTTGACTGTGTAGATCATAACAAACTGTG